ACCAACAAATCAGTCCTTGGACTTGCTGGTTCACGTACCCTAAGGAGGTAGCAGCAGCACACTCCAGGCTGTGTATTAAAAAAATCTGTTGCAGATGCAGGAAGATGTACAGAGAGATTATCAAGCAGCGATGCTTCAAAGCTTGTGTGGGATGGGGGGAATACACCACAGTAGCTATGAGGAGGAATCCTCTCCTGGCCCTGTTCTTCACATTCCTGGCTGCGTATCGTGCTATTTGCTCACTGCTGGGCTGCTCAGGAGCTGCTCGGAGCCAAGGGGGCCGACAAACATCTGCTTTTTGTAGGTCTGCAGCGGGACAGATCGCCACCACGTAGCACGAACATCTGCCCCGCGCAGAGCCGCAGCTGTGGCGCTTGCTTGGGTTTGTTCTGTGGAGATTTTTCTGCGCCTCCTAAAAAATAATAAAATATGCAATGCAAATATGGTAAGACGGAATTGTTTGGGCTGTTTTTGGTTTTGTTTTTTACTTTTCTTCCTGTTTTTCAGGAGAGCAGCCCAGTCAGAGCTGGAGATGGGTCTCGCCTCACCGAACCGCAGGGGCACTTGGCTCTGAAGGAGACTTCAGAGCGTGGCTGGGTCTAACCGAGAAGGGAAATTACATGCTCTGGGGGGTGAAAAAAACCTTACTATTTAAAAAAGGGGAAAAAAACTGTCAGAAAAAAAAAACGTACTAAATTTGGTTGCGAGTGACAGCCGTGTTACATGGGACCCATATTTCACTTTTATTGAATGCTGATAGTGTTTTACATCGTGTGCCTGTTTCGGGCGGGGGTTGAAGGCACCTCAGGGCTTCCTTTAATTCAATTTGGGGGCTCCCTGCTCGGGGGGGGGTGTGAAGGCGACCGAGGGACGGTTGGCGGCGGGCCGCGACCGTTGGGGCGCGACCGTTGGGCGGGCGCCCCTCAGCCGCCACCTTGCGCCGGGCCGGGCCGGGTGAGGGCGAGGGGGGCCCGGGGCAGGGGCGGGGCGGGCAGCGGGGCCCCGCCGGGGCCGGGACCGGGATCGGGATCGGGACCGGGGCCGGGACCGTGAAGGGGGCGGAGGGCAGGGGCCGGGCGGCTCCCGGTGTCTCCTCAGGGCAGCGGCGCTGAAGGCTCGCGGCTTGCGGCCGTCCCGCCATGGCTCCCGGCTCCGAGCGGCTCTTCGACTCGCTGGGACACTTCGGCAGGTAGCGGGGCTGCGGGCGGGGACACAGACACACAGCACACACGACACTTGTGGTAAATGCATGCTCTGCGTGCACACAGCAGCCTCGGTTTGTGAGGTGGGGCGCGCAGGCTGCAGGGGATACGCGGGGGCTGAGGCTGTGGGTAGGGCAGGTGATGGAAAAGAAGCGCTGGACACGGAGATGACACTTCAGGATTCACAACTCACACGACTAAAAGGCGTGTGACCCTCCGTGGGTGCTGTCCTGATGCACTGAGCAGTGTGGATTTCGCAGGGGTGTCCTGCTGGAGCAGCCCCTCATGTCATGGTTTGCTGCGAACCACAGCTTTGTGCTTTCTGGCTCAGTCGCCAGCAGGTTAGCCCACACCACGGTGGGGATCTGCTCCCCATCAGGGGCAGGCAGCAGCCTTTCAGCAAAGCCTTGGAGCTCCTGTTAATGGTAGCAGCACATACCTGTGCTCCGCAGCAGCCCAGGCTCCTAGCGCCACGTGCAAGCAGTGTCAGTATCAATAACCTCCGTGGTTGTGTAGCATGGAAGGACTTGTTCTTTGCTTAACTAGGATCTCAGCTTAAAATGAAACCTGCCAAGTTGTGATCTCCATGCGTAGCCATCTGAACAATATCTCATTCATGATCCGTTCTGGGTCAGCAACAAAAATATTTTGTTGTGTGTGAGCTAGGAGGGGATTCCTAGCAAACTGTTTATTTTGCTATTGCTCTTCTGTCTTGCATGCTGTTTGTGAAAAACAAGCGCTTGACACTGAATGCTGACATAACACGAAAGTAGTTATTTCTAATGAAGTAATTTTCCTAATTGAGATCATTTGAAAACTCTATCTGAAGTACTGATAAAGCCACATTTCGCAATTAAAGGGAGAATAATTCTACAATGATAACTCACTTTAGGACCTTTCAGTGAACTGCAGACTGCTGAAACGCACACAGCCATGCTGTCCTCATGGCTGTTCAAGATTCCAAACACCACACACTAAAAGTAAACATAATGTGGGTTATAGTGGATGAACTTATTTTTAAAATGTTGTAAAAAAACTGTTTATTCCTTCAATACTGCTGGATAAATGCTACATATAAAATGTCTGCTACAACATATTCTTAATTGTAGCTGCAGCAAGTTCTGATTAGTTTGCATTTATGCACCACTGTGACAGTCACAGGCAATCAATAGTTTCTTCATTTCAAGCAATTCTCACGAGGCTCGTGCAAGCCATGCACTACGCATAGATCTGGTGGATCTGCCACAGTCAGACTGTGAGCAGTCCAAGCACTCTGAGCAGTCCAAGCATTTGGGGACTGTTCTGATTATCTGAAACTCTGACAGATGCAGTAAAGAATGGCCAGCTGTTTATATAAATATGTATTTGGAGAGAGCATGTATGCATTATATATATAGCTATAATACTACATGTACATAATTGCACGTCTACATACAATGTGTGAACCTTCCACTTTGCAGAATTGCCATTCACACGTATGCTGCCAACATCTTGCTTTCCCTCAGACTCTCCTGCAGAAGTCTCAGTGATGCTGTAATTCTCAGAGGGGTCTTGAGACGTGCGTGGACAGACATGAAAGTGGAGCAGCTCCCGTGTCCTTTGCATTACAGGCAGACTGTATGCCTGCCTGCAGGGCTGCCCTTGGCTGGCCACCACGTGCCCACTGCCACTCCACAGCAAGGCAGGGGGGAGAAAATCTGATGAAAAAAGCCATGGGTTGAGGTGAAGGCAGGGAGGCTTCTCACTGATTACTGTCACAGGCAAAACAGATTCCACTTGGGGAAGATTAATTTAATTGATTGCTAATTAAAATAGAGTGTGATGGTGAGAAACAAAACTAAAAATTGAACAGTGGGTACCTTTGGAGCTGGATAGAGCTGACTCTGATCTGACCTGGGGCAGCTGCTGGGCTCTGCACAGAGGCCACCCCTGCAGCCCATCTTTGAATTTGGGCATGAGGAGCATCTGTGGCCCATAAATTCAGGATGGTTGTTTTAAACAGTTGTTCTTGAGTCTGTCTCTGGAGCGTGAGATCCCTGCTTGCTGTTGCAGAGGTGAATGAAAAAAAAAAATGTCCTGTCTGCCCCAAGAGGCTTCATCTCTAATGAGCTGCTGGACCTCAAGGCTCCCGATTTACCTGCATCAGGCTGCATCCTTCTCCCATGCAGCACCTCCTGCTAGGCTGTCCCTGTGGGCTCTCCCTCTCTGCCTCTCAGGTTTTGTAATGAAGGATTTCTAGAATCTTATTAAAAAACTGTCTTTTCTTTCAAACTATTTTTTTTTTTTTTAACAAAATGACGTTAGCCGGATTTTCAAACGTTGGTTTTATAAATGCAATGTTGTATCAGCAGTTAGGCTATTTAACAAATTAGCAATGACTGCTTTTCATCTTTAGTGAAATGTTTGTGTATTTCTTCAGCCTTTAACACCTTCACGCTATTGCCTTATATGAGCTTGTTGCCCGGTCGGTGAAGCTGCTACAATTCGGACTTCAGAAGCAACCCCTACCAGGATTAGCACTGGGGAAAGGAGAGAAGCAGGACAGGTTGCCCACCTGTTCCATCCAGACACGGAGTCCAGGAGAGATGGCCACATTTTTCAGCAGTTTCAGTGTTTTCTGTTAATTGCCCTGGAACTTTTCTAGTGTGTATAAATAGATTGTAGATCATGCTTAGCTCATAAAAGACTGAAAGAATCTCTACAAAAGTCAAGGCAATGGGTGTTTGCAATGCAGTCCCTGCAGGTCAGTGCTGTAAAAGCAATGTTTGAACACTTGGTGCTAACACAGTTTCTCTTCTCTCCACTTTGTAGAGTTCTTGGTTCAATTCTAAAGGCCTTCACCAAAGCATCTGTCTTCACATCTCAGAACTTTTCCAGGCTCCTATTTACAGGCTGATGCCCTTATTCCCTCTCCTGTTTCATAGCTTCCAGCTCTTGTGGAGATCTGATTATGTCTTCTGCAAACTGTGGTGTGTACATGATACTTTCAGGAATTTTCCAGGAATTTCTGGGTGTGTATCAAATACCAGAGTCCCGAGTATCTCAAAGAACATGCTCGCTCATTTCTTCTCATGGAAAAGAAAAAAAATCACTTATTTTATAGATTTCTTGAAAGTTTTTTTTTTCCAACAGAACTACATTTTTCAAGCTGAGAAGTGTTCTTGCTGCACATGCAAAAATATCACTTCTTTTCCAGGATAGTATGGAGAAGAAGGTAATCATATTCAGCATTTGAGAACATGATTTGCTTTTACTTTAAAGACAGAAACATTACAAGCATTTTCTGAATACTAATACATTTAGTGTTTAGTGCATCCTACACAATATTGGTATTTGTAAACAAAATAATGTGAATTCCTGTTTAAACTTTGAGTAGTTTCCCCAAAGGTGAGCAAAATACTGGTGGTATAGATACTGCTTTTGGAAAAACTTTTTTTCCCCTATATGCTAGGTACTTTATGCAGTGGACAAATTTATAGCAACGTATCTGCCACTTGGTTTTCAAACTGTGTCAGTGGACAGCTGTTTGTGTTTACTGGAATGTGCCAGAGAGAAGAATCTCAAATCTAAGTCCTCCTTTGGCTCCTAGTCAGGGGTGGTGTTTGTCAGAAATGCTTGATAAAAGTTCTTCAGCTTTATAACTGTACTGTATTGTAACGTCTGAAGCAGCCTGTGCTCGTCTCAGGTGCCCAGAGGGTAAAATAAGTGGATTTAGCTCCATTTTAGTAAGAACTGTTTGTTTGTTTGTTTCATTTTGTTTTGACCTTTTTTTTTTTTTGGTGTCTGGGTATTTTGCACAGATTACTCGATCCCACTGGTTGCATAGCATCATCATAGCTTTGGAGAAGTGAGACAAGCCATGTGTTTTCACAGAGCAGGCTCTAGCAGCTGAAACAAAGCTCTTATTATCTATGCTGGACTAGGCAAAAGTAGGAATATTCTCAGGGCTCAGAACCAAAGATGGATACTGGCAAGTGTTCCTTGGTAATGGTGAAAATCACTAGCAGTGCTGTCTGCAAGAGGTGCTAACAAACATTTGCTGGGATCCAGGTCGTACCTGAGGCAGTCTAGCACAGGATCTGTATAGACAAAACTGTACTGCACCCGAGTGTGCTGGCAACCTCACCCTGCCTGTGTCTGGAGTGAAAAAGGGGATTATAAGAGGAAATTAAAAGGTAGGTCACAATACCAGAAAATGGTAGAATCACAGAAGATAGTAAATCAGTTAAGATTTGTAAGCCAGCCGCTGAGATTCAGATTGCACCTCTGAAATGTCGGCAGCCCGCCAGGGTGGCTTCTGGACAAAGTTGTAGCATGGACAGAGTTATGACAGCATGAGGCGATTATCACACGCATCAAGGAGCTGATGATCAGCTGTTTCATCCCCAAATATTATGGTATGAATGAAAATTAAACACTCAAGGCGCTGCACAGTGTGTTCTCTGTAATTTGGGGCGTGATATGTCACTCCTGTGAAAGCTCTATTGCTTCTGTAAAAGCTCTGCCAGTAATTTTCTCATAATTGTCACGATTTTCAACAGCACAAAGGTTTTCTAAAGTGGGAAGGACATGTTTTATGAAAGGGCTTACTCACAAGAAGTTTGAGCAGTTTATTGTGGGAAGAGAAATGATTCAAGTAGAATATTTAGAGAATTTGTCTACGGCCCCAGAAAGCTTCAGCACATGCTGTGAAATTTCCTGTGCTACCATGTTGCTGTATGCAACAAGAATGGGACTGAAATACATACCCAGCTGATGTTTCATTTCAGGTGGCTCGAGGCATTAAGCTATAGTGGCTGAGCAAGAACATGAGCTTATCAGCTTCTCAGAAATACAGAAAAAATAGCAAGACAGAAAATACCAACTGAGGTCTCTATTACAAGGGCAAGACTAGAAACAGCATGAAGACAAACGAGACAGAGATTTACAGGTACTAATGATGGCTGCTCGGACAGGCTGTCCACATACTTGGGGAGAAATCTCATCTCCTTGAAAAATACTGAAATTACCTAGACAGCTGGTGTATGCCTTCATATCATACATTGACAGCCAAATTGTAATGCCTAGCTCCCTCAGACCAGGTCTTCTCCGAAGTTCACATGCAACAAAAAGGTGGTTTGAGGAATCTAGAAGCACCATCCATTGGATCAGAGACTGAACCCTTTCCTCAAGAAAATGTTTTCATTAAGAGGAGAAGTGGGGATTCCTCTTCCTGTTATTTGTAGGCAGTGGTGGTGCTGGGACAGGAGTAGAGGCCGCAGCCTGGAGAACAGATGGAAAAGGCAGGTAAGACAGCAGGAAGAAGAATACAGATGCTTCAGAAAGCTGGGAGTAATTTGCTGCTCTAAAAAGAGCAGTCAGCATCGCACTTTGGATGGGGCTCAGTGTCACTTCAGCGTACTGTCTCCATGGATGGATGTAGCCTGGCCTTTTCTGGCCATGTTGCATCCTCCTCCTCTCTAAGCTGTGAAGGGGATGTGGAAGGGTCTAGGTTCCCACCTGATCCATCCGTATAAGTCTGTGCTAGCTGTACAGGGAAGTTAGCTGTTCAAATCAAGGCTCAATAGAGTAAATAAAATAAAGTTAGTGAGCTCATCTCACTGACTTTACAGGTGTACAGTGTAAACTTCAGACACCTGCATTAGTCACCTTGTCAAGGGGGAAAATGCCCTTTTATAGGCATAATTCATCTGTCTCATTTTCAGTGAGTGCTTTAGGACAGGATGAGTGCTGCACCTAGATTTGTCTGTGCTTCCTCCTTGAGTGAAAAGGGGATCTAGAGAATTGCAGATGTATGATTGCACACTGTATACCATATATTGCATCCAAGTGAACAGTATACATCCAGATTCTTTCTTCACTTCCAACTTATATTAACTAACTAAGGCTTAGCGAGGAGGTTGGGATGTGGGAGATGCTTCTGGCAGCACACTTTCTGCGTCACAGCATTAGCCAACATCTTTCAAGACAGCTCAAAGCAGGTACCGTGAGCCTTGCGTTGCTCTGCTGTATGTCAGATTGCAGAAAACCCATCAGATATGCAGCTGTACTGCTGTTACAGTGCTTGCCACCTTGTTGGCATTCCGTCAGCAATACCTGCTGTCAGTTCCTTGAATGCAGGTAATTCCAGGAAAGATTGATTCTGGCCAGAGACTGAATTGAGAGCATTAAGATCAGAGTAAAGAGGTCAAGCCAATTCTGAAAACACTGGGGTCCTGAGGAGATGGAAAGTGAGGAAACAAAACCTGCAGCTGACTTCATGAAAAGGAAAAAAGGAAGATTAATACGGTCATTTAGAACTTACAAAGTAGGCAAAAGTACATTTTTTAACTCTTAAATTGCTAATAGATCTTTGTGTCCTTGCTGAAAAGTTAGAAAATATTACTGACACTATTCATTTAGCCTTTGCTCACGAAGTAAATGTTACCATATCTTTGAAGTAGTATTTCATTCGAATGTCTGCCTAGTACTAGAGAGAAAGTCAAATATGAAATGTGGAAAATAAGCAATAAGATAATCAATATCCAAAAGCATTTTCTGACACAAAGCCACTGAATATATGGTGAAATTATACAGATAAGACCACATTTCATTAAAATAACTTTTATTCATGTCTCAGACTCTGAAACAAATTACCATTTGGATTTTTTTTCTGCTATTTAGATCTTTGGAACTGGCTTCGGTCAGCAGAGCTGGGAATTACCCAGCAACTTGTTTCAGCTCCACCCTTCTGAGGGAGAATTTGTGTTTGGTCCATGGTTCTTTGTAGATCAGTGGAGCTGAGTGAGCTCTGTTTGGTCTCTGTTCTAAATGGATGCGGATGGTACAAAACCAGATCTGTGCAGAAGAGTCCTGGCAGGTCTGAGCAGAATCCAGCTTCTTTGTTGGATTCTCATGGAGAATGGGAGCCCCATGTATTTCTTACAAATAGTTATGTAAGGTTTGAAAACAGCATTATTCCAGATCACTCCCTTTTACCGTAAGAGAAAGACTCAAAGAAAGCACCTGACTCTACTGCGGAGGTATAACTAGATAAAAGGACATTACAGAACATGTTTAGTAAGATGTTAAAGTGGCCTTGGAAACAGTGAAATCTGTCATCTGTATTTCTTTGTTTTTAAGTTAAATTAATTTTAAGCGTTTAATGAGAAAGGTGGTAGGATCATCTTCCTCGAATTAGAAGAAATAGAAATGTTGTCTACTTTCCATGAAGAAATCAACAACAGTATAGAAAAAATCAGTCTGTCAGTAATGGAAGAGACAGATGACCAATAAAACTAATGAAAATATATTTTCTTTGGAAAGATCAATAATGCTGTTAAGATTTTGGCTTTTCTTCTTTGGAGAGGTTGTGAAAAAGCTCTCTGTCTAATTAAAATGAATGGCAGTGTTTCAAATATCCAAGGTCTATTAAATCAACTTCTGACATTTCATAGTATTCTATATAGTCAACAATGTAAATCTCTTGGAAGAGAGAAAGCAGAAATATATTTCTTGTCCTGTGAAGACACAGCTAGGTTAGCTGAACCAATATCCAACAGTGAAACTGGAAGGGGTCTAAGGAATTAAGAACTGGACAGAAGTTCACGACCAGGCTGCTAGGCGAAACAAAACAAACTGAAAAACTCCCCAGTGGGAATTAATCGTTTAATCACATCTTGCTAAGGGGCAGATTCCCATGACCATCCAGGGAGAAGCGATTGAGGACTTCTAATCAGAGTGGGCTGCACATTTACTGTGAGTAGGGGCGGTTTGGAGAGAAGGTAAGCTGCGAGCCTGCAAAAGTAGCTGAAAGTCGTCTTGAGCTTTGCAACCTCTTTTAATGTAGGTGTAGAGATAACCTGGCTTGTCTTGGAGAAGATAGCCCATCGGGGATGATAACCTGGCTGAGAAATAGGAACATGGGTGGGACCGACCATCTGACCTTGCAAGAGCCAAGAGACAAGTTGAACAGAAATTACATAGACCATATCACACCTGCAGATTGCTCTGCCTCCCTTTCTCCAAGTTGAAGAATTGTAGAATTACATACGTAGAATTGTATGCATGGAGAATTGCAACTTGCTGTGTTGTCTTTGGCAGGAAAGAATCTCTGGCTGAAATCGAGTTGCTTTTCCTCAAGCAATACTTTGATTTATATGTTGTCGCAAATTTTAGAAGGCACTGTATTATCTAGCACTTAATTTCTGCAGTGTATCTAATTACATCTGAAGTGATTCTATTTGCTCTTGATGACGACTCACTGTGTTGAAAGTCACAATTAACACTAGAACACTGTAAAAGTTTAAAAGGGAGCAAGGGATAGCAAAATGCCCCATTACCCAGGTGATACAAGGCTTTGTGCAGCCCACAGAAATGGCCTAGGTCATCTTAATCGTATTCTTGGCTGCAAAAGTCATGTTATGGGTAAAATCATTGCTTATATTAAGGAAGAACGAAACTCACATAAGTGGTTTAAATATAATTTGATTTGTAGAGCTAATATTCTTTATTATTTTAAGTGGAAACTCAGAATATACTAGTATATGCGAGAATGATTATAAACACATGCTAGGAAAGTGACATCCAGTATGCTTGAATTGATTATGCAGATTTCTTGCTTGTTTTACCTTTTCCCATGAGATCTTTCAAAAACCTGTGAAGAACGAGAAACTCTATAATCATATTCCAAGTGGGGAGAAATTAGATTTCCTATATAGAAATTTACAGCCTTTATTACTTACCAATATGTGGCATGGCAAGAGAATTTATGTGGAATTAAGACTGAAAATGAGCTGTCTCCATCCAAATTTTCTTAGGCATTACTGTGAATACGGACCAAAGAAACAATTCTTAAGAAGCATCATTTCATCACTGCAATGGCAAGTGTTCACTCCATGTGTTTGCACCTTCAATTATACCAGGCTTGGTCTTGCAATAGGAATATATAAACAAATAAGTAAGCACAGAATTCATATGAAAACTGATGAGTTTTATTTCAGGACTAAAGATGGAAAAAATTCAGATCAAATAAACTTCCATAGTTAGAACAAAGTTAGTGCTAGGTGTAATCAGGTTAAACAGCAGAAAACATCGGATTTACTAGTAGTAAATTTACTAGTAGCAAAGCAGTGCCTCTGCCTGCAATTGGGTGCTATCTCAATTAAAACATTTAAATTCTAGTAGACACTTTGGAGATTGTGGTGTGAAATGATTTGCTTACGTAAGCTGATGGAAACACTACAACACAGAAGGGAATTAAGGACATAGTTTGGCTTTGTCCCCAAAAAAGAGGCTGACCAAAAGGAAACAGTGTTACTGAAAATATTAGAATTCAGTTTTTCCTGTAAGAAGTAACACTACTAATATATTATGCAGACAGAGTACACGCTGAATTTCTAAATGGTAGATGTTTATACAAATGCTGCCCCTGGAAAGGAAGCATCAAAGTCCAGAGCTGGAAGCAGTTACTCCTGAACAGTTACCTCCTGTGTTTAGCACCGATCCAAATAATTCCAAACCAAACTGAAATAACTTGAAAGCTGCATGGTCATGTTCTTTTTAATTTAATTACTTGGTACATGTCCTCGAGAGACATAAAGCAGAAGGGACACGTGGGTAACTAGAATGAAATTGGCAGACTCCAGCCAATATCCATCCTGCTGTAGCCCCACATGGAGCCACGACCGCCAGCTGGGGGGGGGGCTGCTTTGCTGGCACCTGGATGGGTGCAAATGCACAAAAATTACAAAAAAAAGTGCTTTGTTCTGACTTTGGTCATCAAAAAATAAGGTTGACCTGAAGAAAGTTAGAACTCAATGGGATTTGTTTGAATCAGCGTTCAAAAAGGAGTTCCTATTATGTTTTGGATCATTATGTCGTTAGCAATGGGATGCATTCAATTACCTCAAATCAAGTGATGCAATACAAAAAAATAAAAATAATCTTGAT